TGAGCTTGCTGAATTTGCTGTCCATAACTTTGTTGAGCTAGATTTTGAGGGCGTTGCTGAGAAATATCGGAATTTTGGATCGGTTGAAGAAGAACTTGATCGAGACTTGTGATTTGTTGGAATTGTTGACTATCTTGGTTTTGGTTTCGTTGATAATTAAAAGTCATTTTATTTTATTTATTTTTTATTAAAAAAAAAAAAAAAAGAAAAAAAAAAGAAAATGATAAAGTCAACTCATTTATATATACAAAAAAAAAACCCTCTCGAGCATGATTTTATTGAACTTGTTTTAAACAGGTTTGTCAAAAAACAAATAATTCGGAAAAGTAAATTTTTTAAGTTTGTCAAAAAAACATATAATCCAGAAAAGTAAATTTTTTAAGTTTGTCAAAAACATATAATCCAGAAAAGTAAATTTTCTTAAACGCACGACATATCAACAAAATGAAGATGTAACTTTGTAGAGAAAGCCTTGGCTTCACTTCAAAACTACATCGAGTTCTTTTTGTTCATGACTTTCCATTTTTGGAAGTTAAAGGATCTGCAAGACCGCAGTGACTATATAGATGTTCTGCATTGCATGACAACCACTATATAATAATACCACATTTATTTTTATACAAAATCTGGTCATTATTATTAACAATAGAATATCTACTTATTCAGAAACATACCAATAATACTTTTAATAAAATTAAATATGTTTATTAACGAATGCCTAGTCTTTAATTCGCGTTCAAAAAAAAAATGGATAACAAACAACGAGTAAGAAAATCAAGAAACAAATCGAGAATTAAAAAAGCAAGTATTATTATAACTGTTATTTCGTTTAGTTCAAGCTCTAGTTATTATATATATTATGTTGAGAATAGTGTTACAGGTCGACTAGAGGGTTATAAGTCGCGACTAGTCGACTAGATTTTCTTCTAGTCGTGACTGGATTTCAGCTGCGACTTGATTTCAGCCGCAACTAGATTTCAGCCACGACTGGATTTCCAGTCACGGTTGTAAATACCCTAGCATTAATATATATCATAAAATGTATTTATTAAAGTGCTGTCCAATCATATGTTGGATATGTGTCCTATATAGTCTCTTTCATTTTTATTATTTTATACTAATATTTTTAGTGGAACAAAATATTTTTTAAAAGATTAACGAATTTAATTAATCAATTGGGTAATTCTATATTAATATTAATAATCCAGAGCCTTGCTTGAAGAGTAGAGGCAGAAAGTCAATATTATAATTTGTACTATAAAGTGTGCTTACAGATTCACCAAAGCTTTCTAGGTACAAGAAAGAGGAAGTAAATGAAATGTTAACCTGAACTTGCCATAATGTAAAATAATCAAGGAAATGTAATTTACAGCAAGAACTTATTGAAAAAAAGGAAAAAGAGGAAAAAGTTGACAAAAAGAAAAAATTGACAAAAAAAAAGAGTTGGTGAGAAAGAAATATTATTTTTCATTTTTTTCTAATTTTTGAGAATTACTATCATCTTCTTCATTTGTATCATTCCAGAATTATCAATGTCAATATCATAACATTCTTGTTCTAAATAATTATTCCTATCAGTTAGTTTCATTAACTTCACAATAATCATGAAAATAACCATTTTCTGAATTACTGTATGCTCATTTTCAAATTCATCTTCAACAAAGATATCTTTTACTAAATCTTTTGGATCATCTTTGATTAGCTTTGACTATCGTGTGACATTATCAATTTACCACATTTTACCATTTTGCCAAATGTGACAAAATTAACAATGATTTGACGGAACAATTTCTCACCTACAAAAACATTTCGCCAAGTATCATTAACTTTATAGCAATTGTGACTTAATCTAACAGTTTTTTATTTTAAAATTTGACATTTTACTATAAAGTTCAGACTCCAAAAGATAGTGTCTTCACTTTAAAACAATTGAAATGATATCATAAAGAGCTTTATTTACAAGTAATAAAAAAAGTTAAATTTATTTACAATTTCTTTGGTATATTTGAAGCTTTTGTAAATTTTCTTTTAAGAAAATTATATTTTTAACTGTTGATGGATTTAAACGGTTTCTTTTATTTGTGATTAAATTTCCAGCAGTTGAAAAGACACGTTCAGCAGGAACAGATGATGATGGTATTCCTAGGTATTTTCTTGATAAATTTGATAAATTTGGAAAAGTTGTTTTTCGTGTTTTCCACCATTCTAACGGATTCACATTTTCTTTAATTGTTATTTGTGGATTTTCTAAATATAAACTTAATTCACTATTTGCATCTTGATTATTGAAGTTTTCATCTTCACACTCATCATCATCAAAAAATGAGAAACCACTTTTTTGATCTTTTATGCGTAAAGATTTGTTAATATAATGATTACTATTATCTTGTGATAACAAATTTGGTATTTTTTCTTTAACAATATTTTTTTCCACATTAGAAACAAAATTTAACATTTTAAAGCGAGGTTCTAAAATGAGCTGATTAATCCAACATCCTTTGGCTCTTCCCATTTTGATTTCATAGAATCCCAAATTGTTTTATGCATCGTTTTTGCTGTTTGTGTCCTGAGTTCAACTTCAATATCTTCTAGATGTTTAAATAGTTTATGATTACTGGATAAGTAAGTGATAAAGTTGGATATTTATTGCCACCAAGCAGTTCAGTTGCTTCTGCAAATTTTTTCAATAATTTTAACAATTCTTTTAAAGATAACCATTCGTTTTCATTTAATAATAATTCATTTAATTTTTTACCATATTCAGATGCACCCTTTTTGTTGGATCTTTTACTAGACATTTCTGTAAAACTTCTAATGAATCTTTTAGATATAGCAATCTATTCATAACCTCATAAGTGGAGTTCCAACATGTTGGAACATCTTTAATTGGTTCAAGGATTTTAATTTGATTATCCAAATCAATAAATTCCAAACTAGCATCAACATTGTATCCATCTATTAAATCAATTACTTTAGATAACTTACATATATTTTGTTGTATTTCTCGTAGTTTTTCTCTATATTTATCTCTATTGACTGCAAACTTATTTAATCTCCTTACTTTTTTAATGAAAGTCTCAATTGATTTAAACCCTTTTTCTACAGATATTTGAATGGTATGTGCAGCACATCTAACATGTTCAATATTTCCAAAATGTTTCATTGCTGCTACAACATTAGCTGAATTATCACTTACACCAGCGATGATTTTATTTTGAATTTTATATTCATCAAAAATTGCTTCCAATTTATTTACAATATCATTTGCTGTGTGTGGATATGGCAATTCTTCTAAAGTTAGGAGCAACTGATTCAGTTCAAAATCTTCTGAAACCCAATGTATTGTTATTCCGATATAAGGTTTATGCATTGAAGTCCACTCATCAGTGGTGAAACTTATTGAATCAGCTGAGTTTTCCAAAAGTTCTTGCAATTTATTACGACCAACTTGATACCCTTTGAAAATTAATTGCTTTACTGTAGATATAGCTGGCACTTTGAATTTTGGACTTAGATTATGCATAAATTCTTGAAATTTTTGATTCTTTAATCAATTAACCACTCTATTAATCATACGTTAAATCTTCTTGCTTTTTTTTATTATAAGGTTGCTTGTCATTATTTTCAAATAGTGCTTTTATTGTAGGGTGTGAATTTTTAGCTGACCCAAAACATGTAGTAATTGTATCCGGACTAGTATTTTCATTAACTTGATGATGTTGAGTTAAATGTGATGCTATTGATTGAGTACTTGTGGTCAGGGAGAAATTCTTTTTACATTGCGATCCATTTAAATATAATATCTGGCATCTAATGTGTGTTTGTCTGGAATAATTTTAGAGTATTTCCAAATCCAGCTTTTTCCTGCTTTACGCTCAATTTTTTTAAAATTTCTAATTTTTTTATTATCCCAACTTAAGATAGTTGATGATGAGGTATCAAAGTGTGATGGATCGAAGTCATTTTCATCAACCATTTCATAATTGCTGTAATTATCACTATGATTATGGTTCTCACCAAAATGATTATAATTATTATCAATAACATCATCATCATCATTTATTTTTCCAAATAATTGTTGTTGACGTTGTTGACTGATGTTTCACTTCCACTATCATCAGTTAATGTATTACATGATTTTCATTTTCTGAATCTTCCAACATGTCATCATTATCAACAGAGACAACCATTTTTTTTTTGTGAAAAGACTGATCTCAATTTTTTATTTGGGTCTCGGACATGTTAAAAAAAATTATTATTAAAAAATTATTTTAATTGAGGTAGTTAACTAAACAATTTTTTTTGCTTTTCAAGCATTCAATTTATCAAAGAAAAAATAGATTTTATTTGAAAATATAGAAAAAGAATGAGGCGAATTAATTAAAAAAAAATTTTTATTATTTTATATCATTATAAAGAAAAAAATCCAGTCGCGGCTGAAATCTAGTCGCGACTGAAACCCAATCGCAGCTGAAATTCAATCGCGGCTGAAATCCAGTTACGGCAGAAATCCAGTCGCGGATGAAATCCAGTCGCGGCTGAAATCCAATTGTAGCTGAAATCTAGTATCGGCTGAAATCCAGTCATGGCTGAAATCTAGTCACGGACGAAATCTAGTCCCGGCTGAAATTCAGTCACGGCTCAGTCGACCAGAAAAAATCCTAGTCGCGACTAAATGTAAATCGACTAGTCGACTGGCAACACGAATTGGATGATAATATAGTCGGTTTGACTGGTGATTTTTGGAAAATTTTCTGCATGCTAAACCAAGATTGTGTATTATTTTAAATTTTTTTAATTGATAAAGGATATTATTTAGTGATGTTTGCCGAAACTATTTTTGAAAAAAAGGTAGTTTCACCTAATACATATAATAAGTCTCTAAATCAATCTACTTTATTTTAAAAAATAATTTTGCCATTAAAATTAGTAGGCCAATTAATTTCGGCAATTTCGGCCCACTAAGATAGTTTTGGCCACCATCATTAATATTATTGTTATTGATAACAATAATGATAACTAACGCAATAACAATAAAATTTACAATTGCACAAATTCATTAAATCTAAATAATAAATATAACTAATGAATGATAATGATTGCTATAGATTCAAATCAGTTTGAATCAAAATATATATATTCAAATCAGTTCAAATCAAATCAATCGAACCAGGGTACAATTCGAATTTCACTAGAGGTCTGCATGGATAACAATAATTGAACATATATCCAACTCATACCAAAACCCTATAGGAATAAGAGAATCTCCTACTCCAGCATCACCATAAATATCACTCCATTGTTTCTATCTTGCCAGATAACTCTTTTTTAGATAAAATAATAGTTTTTTTAATTTATATATATATTTTACAAAGCTCTAAATTTCTATATAATCTCATGGTAGAAAATAACCCTTTGTGACGATTTTTCTTAAATTCGTTAATTTCCCTCCCCCTTTTAATTAATATTAATTTTTAAGACATAAAAAAATAAAATAGATAAAGTATAGCTGGCGAATTATCTCCAAGTATTGATCAAAAAATAATGAATCAATTTTGACATTTTTAATATTAAAAGGAAATTTACGATTAGGTTTTTTATTCTGAATCTTATTGCATCATACAGAAAGGTAAATATACAATTAATTAAAAATTGTTGTTTTTAACTAGTGTTCCATGCCGCAACCCAAAAAAGGAAACATAATGGTCGTAAAGGCGGTTGCAACCAGCAGTTGCAATCATTTTTATATGACACAAAAGTGGTAGCAACCATCATCAAAAGTTGCAGCCGGTATCCTTATTTTTAGCTAACCTATTTAGTATACTAAAAATGTTTTCCTTTCATTGCGCAATTTCAATTTTTTATCTTTTCCTTTGGTACAAATAATTAGCAATAATAGTAATTCTTCTGCAATAGAAAGAAATGACATTTATCATAAAGGCCTGGGCCTTGTTTTATTCCCAAAAATAATTTCTAAAGATTTCGTTCAAAAACTGTTTTATTGGATATTAATAAAATAAAATAAAATAAATAAAAAATGTAAACCGTTT